CAAGTGCATTTGGTCTGGCACGTGCGCGACCTTCGCATGATGACGCAGTTCCAGCAGTGGTTCCACGAAGCGACGGGTCTCTCGTCCAACTTGCGTCTTCACCTCTTTGTGACCAAGACATCGCCGCCCGCGGAAACTGCGGTCGCCAAGCAAGTGTACGACCTCAAGAGCTCGAACGTGGCGCCGCGGCCGTACGCGAACGTGTCGACGCTGCGCCAGGTGCTCTTGTTTGTCGCTGCGTTCTTTGGCGCCGGCACGCTTCTCCTCGCCGTCCACTATAACACCAAGATCACGACCGCCGACCCGTCGTACTGGCCGCTGCAGCGCTTGATGGAGTTTCTCGCGATCGTCATTGGCGCCTACTGGGCCTACGTCGTCGTCTTGGTCAAGCCGTACACGCCGGTGCCGGTCGCGCGCTCGCAGGTCGACGAGGTCCCCAAGGAGCCGATGATGTCGGACGAGGCGTTCATCGAGCGCTACAGCGTCCAGAAAGGCCGCATGGACTGGCCGCACTTCTTCTCGAGCCTCGTGGACACAACGGCAGCGACTGCGTCGATCGGCGTCTTTGTCTCGGGCCCCAAGACGCTCTTGCGTGCGATCGATGCGCAAGCGCACTCGACGCGCTTTGCCGTGCACCACGAAGAGTTTGAAATGTAGACGAGTTGCAGTGGTATTGAAGCCCAGTAACTCAACCATAATCTAGCGTTTTTCTGTCTATTGAAGTCGTGCCGGTCCAACTACTATAGGACATCTTGTCGATGTGCAACAAACGGTAGACTCCAAACGGTGGCGCAACAAAAATGACAAATCAAGCATCGCATTATACCGAACGAGTGGCAAAATGAGGCTGTCGAGTGGGCAACTTGTGCAAAAATAAGACACGGATGGATGTCTCTGAGCTAAATTTCCCACAACTCTATCGGCGCTCCTTCGCTAGCCACTGGTGACGGTCCAACGATACTGTGGCGGCACTGTTGCCGTGATGCGGTCACTCTCACGCGCCTACATGCTCTACACCGCAATGCGCTTCCGGCTCAGCGGCGACGTCTCGGCAAAGCGCTTGTGCGGTCGACGAGCTGGCACACGGCCGCGACCATGATGGACGAGAGCGCCTTGATGACGGCGACCGCGATCCCCGAGCCGGGGTCCGCACACTACGACAAGAAGTCGTTGACGAACACACGTCCGACTGGCTCGCAAAATCGAGTCTACTGCCTCGAGATGCTCGTCCTACCTCGTCCTAGTGATTAAGGTGGCTCAAGGCATCCAAGGGGAGTACACTGTATAGATATATTGCAACGACGAATGATGTGTAGCGGTCTGATAGGGTCTGGAATAACCGAGATGGAAAAGCACAACGTGCAGCTGGTTAATAGACAACGACGTGGCATTCCAACGCGCATGCAAATTCTTTGTCGTAGTAAACACGCAGATTACCGCATGGACAGGAAAGCGCAAGCATCATGTGACAGTGCAAAATTATCCACTCTCGTTGACTGTCGTTGACTCTTTTTGACGCGTACTGCATGTTGTGACGGCGTCCTGTTTGGTCCGCACGTCGGTGTTCTTTTGCAATTCATACTGCTGTCGTGTTCGATAATGCATGCCGCAACAGGAGCTGAGCGAGCATTTGGTTTCACATCACCATGGTCATTCTGTTAATGCGATACCAGCGCCGCTCGATGTTTCACCCATGGGATTTTCTCGACACGGGTGTACCCAGTTTGGATGCGCCAAGTCCTTGTTACGTTTTATCACCACCCAAAAGGTTAGCCACTTCTCCCTTCGTAGTCGATTGGTTTGGTCGCTAGTACTTCGTAGTCCGTTGACGCCACATCCAACTCGACAGACTCCGTCATGCACGCCACTCGTCGCAACGCATTGTCAAAGCTACATGCGCACTAGCATGGCGTTCACGCAGAGGCTGAGCTTGGTACAAACGAAATGAAATTGAATACGATTGCACTCCCCCATCGCCCTGCGCTCGATCGGCGTGCATGCCCGATAAACGAGTCCCCGGAACACGACCGATTGCGCTCGAACAAACAGCATTTTCGAACCACAACGGCAAAGCACGGTCACCTAGGAGAGGCGTGACTATGCGAGTTTCTTTATTGCAATTGATGTGCAAGCGGACTACGTAGTCCCACTCTCGCCGTTTAGAATATCCGTGTAGCTTGGACGGCGCACTTGTCGCCAACCTTTTTGTTGTAAAGTTGGCGCCAAAGATTTTGCCAGGAGCCAATCAGAAACGTTTAATGCGATGATTGGCCAGGTCTTGGCCAATCCACGCCCGAAATCGCTTATCAAGATACCAAGACCAGTTGAAGCGCGAGGCCAACGAACGGTGCCAATCGAGGTCCATTTGAAAGCAACGACAACTCTCCTGCGATGCCTGACACAGTCAACGAGTCTGCTGCGCATACCAAAGACGAAGCATTTCCGCTCACTATTCATTTTGCTTGACCGACACCAACTCCCATCATGCGCCACCAGTCGACCTACGAGGCGATGGCGACACCGCCACTGCACGCGCCACTGGACGCCGATGCCAAGCCAGTGCCGCCCAAGATCGCTCGCATTGCGCACTGGGTCGCTGGGTTGTTGGTGCTCTACGCTATCTTTGGTACCACAGTCATCTACAGTCAAACATCGGTCGACATTATGAACGACTTTCTCTGCCCGCTCTTTGGTGTCGACCCGTACAAGTGGCCGAGCGGCCACTATGAGATGGTGGATGCCGGGTACTTCTTCTTTGCGTCTATCTTGCCGATCGTTGTGGCCTTCTTGCTCGTGCGCCTCGTGTCCCGCGGCGCGACGTTCCCCGTGCTTCACGTGTCGTACGCGCTGCAGCGCAAGCCGCGTTTCCTCCACTCGCTCGTGACCTACGGCGAGGCTCTCTTCCTTCTATTGGTCGTTGGCGGCAACATCCTCTTCTTTTACTTTTCCTATACAATCCGAGTCGAGCCGACGAGCACGAACGAGCGACGCCTCGAGGCGGCCGCTGCGGCCTTGGGCTTTTGACGGCATACAACATGGCATTCCTCGCGCTGCCCGCGTCGCGCCACTGCTTTTGGATGGAGTGGCTTGGCATTCCGTACGCCCATGGCATCAAGTACCACCGCTGGCTCGGGATTTTGTCGATCCTTGCGCTCGTCCTGCACACGCTCGTGTACGTCGTTGCGTACGCGCGCAAGCACGAGCTCCTGAAGATGCTGCCGTGCTTTGACTGCGACATCGCCAACGAAGGGTACGAGAACTGGATGATCTCGTTTGGGTGGCTCTCGGGCTTTGCCATGCTCGTCATGGGCCTGACCTCGATCGCGTTTATTCGCCGCCGCTACTACAACGTCTTTTACGTCACGCACTTTCTCTTCATTCCGACCATGCTTTTTGCCACGCTGCATTGGTCGGGCGTCCTTCTCTTTTGTTTTGCCTCGATCGTGCTCTACATTGGCAACCGCATGATGTCATCGGCGACGATCTCGGCGCCGGTCGTCGTCCGGAAGGCCATCTCGTACCCGCACCAGGTCACCGAGCTCGTCGTCGAGATTGCGACGCACTATCAAGCCGGCGACGTCGTCTACCTCAAGGTCCCGTCGGTCTCCAAGACGCAGTGGCACCCGTTTAGCGTCGCGTCGACGCCACTGCACACGCCCGGCACGATGACCATCTACCTCAAGAACCTCGGGCGTTGGTCGAGCCAGGTGCACGAGTACGTTCGTCAGTGCAACGCTGCTGGTGTCGACCCCGCCGTGTACATGGATGGTGGCTACGTCTCGCCCGCACTTGTGCCGGCGTCGTACGAAAAGGTCGTCTTCATCGGCGGCGGTATCGGTGTCACCCCGCTCATGGCCCAGATCATGCACGTGCTGTACACGGCGCCGTCGCAGGAAGTGCATTTGGTCTGGCACGTGCGCGACCTTCGCATGATGACGCAGTTCCAGCAGTGGTTCCACGAAGCGACGGGTCTCTCGTCCAACTTGCGTCTTCACCTCTTTGTGACCAAGTCGTCGCCGCCCGCGGAAGAGACCTCCTCCTCCTCCTCGACCGTGTTTGACCTCAAGGCGTCCGACACTCCGCCCCGCCCGTACGCCAACGTGTCGATGCTTCGCCAGACGCTGCTCTTTCTTGGCGCCTTCCTCGGCGCCGGCGTACTCTTTGTTGCAGTGCATTATGGCAACAAGATTACGAGCATCAACGAAGCGTACTGGCCGATTCAGAGCTTCATGGAGTTTCTGGCGATCGTTGTCGGCGCCTACTGGGCGTACATTGTGGTTTTGATCAAGCCGTACACACCTACACCGATGGTCAAATCGCCTGTCGACGAGATGCCCAAGGAGCCGATGATGTCGGACGAGGCGTTCATCGAGCGCTACAGCGTCCAGCAAGGCCGCATGGACTGGCCGCACTTCTTCTCGAGCCTCGTGGACGGTACGACCAAGAGCTGGACGACGCCAGCGATCGGTGTTTACGTCTCGGGGCCCAAGACGCTGTCGCGTGCGATCGATGCGCAAGCGCACTCGACGCGCTTTGCCGTGCACCACGAAGAGTTTGAAATGTAGACGAGTTGCAGTGGTAAGTCGTCGCGTGTCTCTCTCATCGTTTGGTAGTATCGTGTTGGAACACATAATACTTGTATGCTCGCTGTCCCACCTGAATATGAACCCAAAAGCTCAGCGACCTGCTACGTCCGTCATTTCTTGGCCTCTAGACGACGACATTCACGGTTGGTTTGAGCTCAAGAGAAGGGGTTTTAAAGCCTTGACGCATGTTGTGGCCGACGCTGGAGTCGCCAGTTCGTATACGATTGGAGCGAGCTCATGGAGCAGGCTAGCTATCCCATGGTATATGGCATCACGCAAACCGCTTTATTGAGGCACGACGGCTGGAATCGCAAAGTTGTTGTCGCAGTGGGGACACACCGTGTCGTCCAAAGTGAAATTGCTAGCATATAGGTCGGGTATCATCAATTCCAATTGACTTGCGTATTGATGGCGTACGAGAGAATCTTGCGGAAGCATTTCTTGCAGTGCTTGCACGCAAACGCCATCTCGGCGGCGGCGAGGATCGGGTGGTCCGAGACCTCAAAGTGACACTCGGTGCAGTCAAACCAGCGCTTGCAGCACGGCGCGCGGAAGGCAACCTACTGCGACGTCAGCCACCACGATCCGCAACGACGCCAACGACCTGGACGTTCAAGATGTGTTTGCACATGCGCCGCACTAATTTTATCGACAGTTGTCTGCGGTGGAGTCGAAAAATAGATCCGAGTTGGTCGATCTAATGCGCTCGTCACTTGGTCCATTAGTATAATAGTCTGCCCACTGGCTGGGTGATTGCTTGGTCGATTCATATCTTTTAGGTTACTCTAGTTAGTTAGTCGACACAGATGTCAGTTAGTCAGTCGATACATTTGCCAGTTAGTTAGTCGATGGTGCGATTTGAGTCAAATCGCACCATCGACTAACTAAAAATAGGCACCCTTCGTCTGTGGTCAAATCATTTGACCAAAGACGAAGCGTGCGTGCATGTACAACGTTTTCGTCGACGCCCGACTAAAACGCGTTTATACCCAATACGCGCCTTGTGGATACGGCGCCAAAATTCAGAATGGCCGCCTAAAACGTGGCGTGTGACGAGGTTGGCCGATCGGCGTCGAGAAGAATGAACAGCCATTGGCGACAAGGTCAGGGATCGCGGCCTCGTGCGCGGGCTCCGTTCTCGGCTTTCTCGCGGCGAGAAGAGCTCGAGACACGCGTGACAGCGCACCCGCTTGCCGTCGCCGCACGCATGCGAAACGCAGGTACAATGCGGTAAGCCCCATAATGCTTGCCTGCTGCAGCCGCCTCGTTGCCTCGTGTTGGCATTGCATGGGCCCCGTCCACGTCGTATGTTTAACGCGTTTAAACGTTGTGGATCTTTTCTTGCGTCGGCATAAAAAAGAGGCCACGAATGAATGGTGCGGGCCCAATTAAAATTCGCGGCGCGCGCCCAGTGGCCAATCCGCGACGACGTGGGTTTTGACGCGTTTGTCAAAAGGTGTCAAAAGCTGTCGGAACGATGGCCCTTGTGACATCTGCTGTGCAATAGAAAAGCCCTCACGACGCTCAAAGATGGAAAGGCTGCAGCCAAGTCCATCGTCGTCGACGGCGCCGCCGGCGCTGGCCCGCGTCGCGTCGTCGGAGCGCCCGCCCGTGCCCATCATTGCGCTACCGCCGCCGATCGTGACGCCGTCCGTGGTCTACGGCAGCAACGGGTCGGCCGCGATCCCACAGCACATCGTCCCGAGCCTGCCAGGCCTCGCGCGGCCGCCAGGCTCCAAGAAGAAGCCCAAGCTCCTCGTGCTGGGCATGGGCTTTACCGGCCTCCGCGTCGCGATGGCTTTTCGCGAAAAGCTCGGCTTCTCGGTCTGCGGTACCGTGCGCAGCGCGCAAACCAAGCTCGAGCTCATCGACCGTGGGATGAAGCAAATCTACTTCCTCGAGGACGGCACGCTTGAGATCGACACGTTCCGGCTCCTCGAAGACGTCACG